ATATATATATGGGATATGGGATATGGTAAAGGTTATGTCATTATATATGCACCACCACCTGATCAGCTGGTATACGTTGATGATTTTGCTCACAATGGCCGAGATGATATGATGGGATGCCCTCAGAGGCTTGATGATGTTATGAATACATATACCTATGCACTACATGACATTCATACGCATATACATGACACTATAAGTATTTCACGATTTACAAAGTTATTCAAACTTACAGGTTGAGTCATTTACTCTATATTTCTTCTATGTCTTTTATGTACTTATTTATGTGTCTTACATACTCGGTACATTATTCGTACTGACGTCTCATTTGCCTGGGGATATTGCATTTCATGCCCGCAGGTCTTGATAGACAGGTCGAGAGTCCTCCAAGTAGGCTATCAGCTCTACGGAAGATGTTGGTGCGCTCCATTTGTTTCGAAGTTGCCTGTTTGATCAGTATGATTTAGACGTATATTGTTCGGTATGGCGGGGCCCTGTCCCGACCTTTATGTTAAGTGTATACTCTTAGAGGCTTGTTGACAGATGTCATGTATACGAATGCTTGTATGGCCTTGCCGGCCTTTGGTTTGAGTTTACAAATGATCTTGTTGGATTTATAGGCCCGTATATCACATATATAAGTTAAGTGTATACTCTTAGAGGCTTGTTGACAGATGTCATGTATACGAATGCTTGTATGGCCTTGCCGGCCTTTGGTTTGAGTTTACAAATGATCTTGTTGGCTTTATAGGCCCGTATATCACATATATAAGTTTTAATATCAGATTGAGTCATCCTATATTGAGTATTCCTTTATGTTTATTCTGGTTAGTCCATGACAGCCCTTTTGGCTCATTTGCCAATGAAAGTACAATAAGAAAGATATGTTATGTTGGTACTCGGTTAAGTAAGGTACCGGGTGCTCGTTGCGGCCCATAGGTTTTGGTCATGACAGGTTCCATTGATGAACCCCAATTTATTTTTGGCAGATAAAGGGATAAGAACCCCCTCTTCTCCAATTTCTATAACTGGTCCCATCAAAGGTAGTATTTATGAGATTCATACCAGGAGAATCAGAGAAGGAGAGGAAATAAGGATGTGTAACATCAATCTCAGTTTTGGGTTTGGAAGACTATTATTTAGTACCCATTCTGTAGGTGTTCAAAGAAAAGAAATGAAAAAAATATTTGGAATGTGAAAACGAATGAGAATCAATAAGATATTACTTCTGATACCACAAAGAAATTCAAGGAAGTTTGTATGAAAAATATTTCTCTATTCATTGTGTCATCATTACTGTGCTATTCGTATATCTATACGAAGAAAGAAAGATTACATGACTAGGTCATTCCTATCCCTACTAACAAAACTCTATAACCACCTAAATAAATAAATACAAAAAAAATCTATATATATGGTATTATACTAAAATATTCTTATTACTAACTTCTAGAACCATAACAGTTGGCTACAAATTGTATGTATTATTAAGTACATGTGTCCTCATCAATGGCCATCAATTTAAGAGGAATAAAAAGAGTTTGAGATCATCAAATTGAACATATTCAGACATAACCTAAATTCTACTGATGTTTGGCCAAAATGCTATACTTTTAGTATATTACTCGCCCTATATTTTGTTGGTTTTTTAATTAATTGTGCGACATTGGAGCTAAATTGTGTTGTTTTATGTGTAGGAGCATCGGAAAAAAGTGTCGAATGAAAGTTGCACAAAAAGAGGACAACAATGCAAGAAAAGAGCACAAAAGTATCAAATACCCAAATCGTGTTACAGACCAAGTAAAGCCAGCTCTATAGCCTGACTTACCGTGCTACAAACCAAGTAAAGCCAGCTCTATAGCCAGCTTGACCGCGCTATAGGCTAGGCGTATCCAGTTCTGTAGCCAGGCTGACCGCACTATAAGCCTGGTCTCGCGAGGCCTATAGCCCGATAATTAAATGTCGCGGGTTAAAATACTCAAACCTGGATTTGGACTGAGGGATTTTGGCCCTAACATATAAATACTCCCCAAATGAGTTGAGAAAGGGTTGGACACTATTTTGGAAGAAGAAAAAGGCTACGAAGCACTGTGGAGCAAGAATCAAACGAGTTTTCCCTCTATTTATCTCCTTACTTTGTAGTTTAATGTCTTTGAACATAATGATGATTGTTGATACATTTCTGAGTAGCTAAACTTTCTAATCTAGGGTTTGATGGAACCTATTAGAGGATGATTTTCTACTACGCTTAATATAGATTTACCATTGATTTTTCTCTACTTCTTCAACTATATTTTTGTTGTTGTTGATTGAAGAGCTCTCAATTAACTGTGCCTATATAGAATGTATATTGCTCGAGAGAGAGTACACATTTAGGCAGTTGTGAGATCAATACGGAGGGTTTAAAGGCGGGATTAGAGATAACGAAACCTTGGTGCAATCGTAGTAAGCGGTGAATTAGTTCCAGCTAGTGTAGTTTAAGAGAATGCGTCTAGTAAATTGTATTAGTTTCTCGAGAGAGAGATACGACATACAAAGTGCTCATGATCGGTACAAAATACTTAGGCGAATTTATAGGAAACTTAGCAGGGAAGATTCTGAGAATAGGTGAATTCATAACCCTAGACTTTTCCAAATCTTGTCCACAACATTTTCTCTGTTAGTTATAAATTACTGCATTTTAATTACTTTGCTCTTAGTTAGTAAACATTCAAATCATTATTTAATACTTTTGAAGGTTGATTCCTTGAATTCGTACGAAACTAGTGGTTGTAATTAGTAGGTTAATTCCTTGTGGGATTCGACTCCGGACTTGTAAACCAGATTATATTTGCAATGACCGCTAGACATCTTAGGAGACATAGTTGGGTGTGATCAAATTTGGCGTCATTGCTGGAGAATTAACGGTGTTATTAATTACAGCTAGAAGAATTGTTAGGATTCTTAATTTAGTCAATTTTCTTCATTTTAAATTCATTATATTGAAATTCTAACATTTGTAGTCTTGTGTGTTACATGTGCATGCCTAGAAACTTCTCAAGAACTGGTGAATTATTTAAGGCATTATCAGATACTGAGAATGCTTTCATGGCATTAAATCGTGCAAACAAGAAGGACAAACGACAATAAAACTTGACTGAACAGACCGAACTAGACATGGGGGATGTTAGAGACAACCAAAACAACCTAAACAATATGAATGACCCGAACAATCAGGGTGTGGCACCGCTTGTGCTAGAAGTAGCCTTCTATGATTGGGCGCAACCCACCACTGAAAATCTACCAACCACAATTGCAGTCCCTCAAATACAAGCGGAGTCATTTCAAATCATAAACAACATGATACATGTGTTGTAGAATAAGGTTCTGTTCTCCGGGTCTTACATTGAAGATCTACGGCAGTATCTGAAAAACTTTTGTCAATTTGTGTCACTCAAAGGCAACTGAATGTGACACCAGAAGCAATCAGACTATTATTGTTTCCATTCTCAGTGACTGGAGAAGCTCAGACTTGGCTTAATTCACTCCCCATAAACTCCATCACCACTTGGGAGGAATTAGTCAAGCAGTTTTTGAACAAGCTCTACCCAGCCAATAAGACTTCCAGAAAAGTTGAATTCTACCCACCCAAGCAAGTTGATGAGATATTGAGCTTCAGACAGAAACTAGCTGAAGCACTACAAGAAATGTGGGAGAGGTTTAAAGGGATACTGGTTAGGTGTCCACATCATGGCATTCTAGGTCAGATTTTGCGGCAAAGGTTCTATATGGGATTGGCAGACAGCTTGAAGGCCAATATTGATGCTTCAACAGGTGGAGCATTTTTAAGCAATCATTCAGGGAATGTAAGGTTTTACTTGATAAAATGGCTCAAAACTCAAAATGGATGACAAGATACTCTATAATCACTCTTATAGTTCACTCAATACCTCTAGACCCAAACAACTCCATGGCTGAGAATATGGCTACGATGATGACGCAATTGAGTGTCCTAACCAAAAAAATTAATGAGTCAGGCCAGAAGCAGGTGCATATAGTTGACACAACAAATGGAGGATTATGCACAACATGCATTAATTAGCCATGTGTGTGATTGTGGAGTGGTGGGAGTGACAATCAGAACTATTTAGAGAATATGAACTATGTGGGAAACTATATAGGCCAGAGACAAAGTGGTCAGACATGGGGACAGCAGAATCAACAATATAGGCCAGCACAATAGCAGTACAATAATAATAATAATCCTGGAGTTGTACGATCACAGGGTCAAACTGTGCCTTATCAAAGGCAACAAGAGTATAATTAGCAGAATCAGCAACCAGCTCAACAACCTCAACAACAACAGATAGTGAGACAAGATGATGGGTTGTTTGAAATTAAGGAATGCTCCAACAACTCATTGGGTCCAGTAGGAAAATGGAAGAAAAGGTACACCTGATGCAAGAAAAGGCACACCAGATGCACGAAAAGGTAGTATCACACGACTCAGCTATCAAAGGCATTGAGATTTAACTAGGGCAAATATCCATGGACCTTAAAAATAGTCCTCAAGGGACATTACCTGTGGAGACACATGTTAACCGACAGAGTAGGGCCCGAAGCTGTTGATGGTTCTGAGTCTAAGAAATGGTAGAGGTCTTGATTACAACAAGAAATTGCTCGTGAAAGCTAACTAACTAGATACTCGTGCCAGTACCAGTTGAGGTAGATGAGTCAACTGAGCTAGCAGAGGTAAGAATCTAGCCAGCCCAGGAGGAAATAAACAAGGGAAAAGAGGTTACAAAAGAGGTTGAGAAAGTGCTAGAGAAGGTATTAGAAAAGTGCATGAGCAGGATTGAACTCAAGTCACAAGAAAGAAGCGACTACCAATACCCTTCCCACAGAGGTTGGCCAAATATCAGAAGGATGAGTAGTATAAGAAATTCATGGAGAAATTGAAGTAGATCCAGGTGAACATTCTATTGATTTATGCCTTGAGAGAGATACTTGGTTATGCAAAAATGATGAAGGACTTGATGTCTCGCAAGTTTGACTTTCAAGACTTGGCAACTATTACACTAACTCGGACATGTAGTGCTGTCGTGACGAGACCCATAGATGAGAAGCTATCCGACCCAGGGAGTTTCACAATCCCATGCACAATAGGTAGCTATGTTTTTGCTAAAGTATTGTACTATTTAGGGGCTAACATAAACTTGATGCCCTTGTCTATCGATAAAAGGTTAGGCATTGAAAGAGCAAGACCCACATCCATGTTACTACAGCTAGCCGACCGAATGTTGAAGAGGCCATCAGGTGTACTTGATGATGTACTTGTGCAGGATGGAAATTTTGTGTTTCCGATAGATTTTGTCATTCTGGACTACCAGGTTCACAAGGAGATTCCTATAATTTTGGGAAGGCCATTCTTGGCCACTGGGAGAGCTCTAATTAATTGTGAAACTAGAGAGCTAAAGATGAGATTGAACGGTGGAGAGATAATGTTTAATGTGCAGAAGTCTATGTGGTGACTCTGTGAGTTTGCTAACTACTCTATGATAGAAGTTGTGGATGTAATTTTAGAGGAGGAAGATAAGGCATTGAATGCATAAAAGACCCCCTAGCAGCCTACCTGATGAACCTAGAAGAGGTAGATGGTGAGTACTTGGCGGAGTGGGTTTTGGCCCTTGAAGGCCAAGGGTACTGGAAAAGAGATTTGGAATTCGAGACTTTACACTTAGTAGAAAGAAAGACCCCTCCAGCTAAGCCAACAATCGAAGAGCCACCACAGTTGGAGATAAAACCATTGTCATCCCACCTTAGGTATGCTTTCTTGGGACCTAGTTCGACATTGCATGTTATCATCTCATCTGGTTCTTTAGATGTGAAACTTTTGATGGTTCTGAAGGAGTGCAAGACTGCAATTGGGTTGACCATTGCAGATATAAGTGGTATCAGCCCAACGTTTTGTATGCATAAGATTCTACTGGAAGATGGGTGTCAGCCTTCTAGAGAACATTAAAGAAGGCTGAACCCCAACATGAAAGAAGCGGTGAAGAAAGAAGAGATCAAGTGGTTAGATGCGGGAATCATCTTTCCCCATCTCTGACATCAACTGGGTCAGCCTAGTTCAGTTTGTGCCAAAGAAGGGTGGAATGCCTGTAGTGAAAAATGAGAACAACGAGTTGATCTCAACAAAAACAGTCATGGGATGGCGAATCTGTATGGACTACAGAAGACTGAACAAGGCTACCTGAAAATATCATTTTCCCTTGCCATTCATTGATCAGATGCTTGATAGATTGGCGAGAGGTCCCACTTTTGCTTCCTGGATGGATACTCGGGGTATAGCTAGATCTCTATTGCCCAAAAGTATAGAGAGAAAATGTTGTTCACCTATCCGTATGGCATCTATGCCTTTTAGAGAATGTCGTTTGGCCTACGCAACGCACCCTCCACATTCCAAAGGTGCATGATGTCCATCATCACATATATGATAGAGGAAATAATAGAGGTTTTCATGGATGACTTTTCAGTGGTGGGGAACTCATTCGATGATTGCATTATGAACTTGAAAAGAGTATTGAAGAGGTGTATGGAGACTAATTTGGTACTGAAATGGGAATAGTATCATTTCATAAGTATAGTCTTGGGACATCTATTGTTAAGTAAGGGAATTGAAGTGGACCATGCTAAGGTTGATATAATTGAGAAGTTACCTCCACCCACTTTCATCAAGGTTATAAGAAGTTTCCTTAGTCATGCCTGTTTCTACAGGCGGTTTATAAAAGATTTTTCCACAAATGCTGACCCTTTGTGTAAATTTCTTGAAAAATATCACCCCTTTGTGTTTTCTGATAACTGGAGGGTAGCGTTTGAGGAGTTGAAGAAGAGACTGGTGACTGCACTAATCATAGTGGCACCCGACTGGGGACAACCTTTTGAGTTGATATATGATGTAAGCGACTATGCTATGAGAGCAGTTATTAGGCAGAGAAAAGATAAAGTCATGCATCCAATCTACTATGCAAGTAGAATCTTTAGTGGTGCCCAACTGAATTACACAGTTACAGAGAAAGAGGTACTAGCAATGGTGTTTGCATTTGACAAATTTAAGTCATACTTGATAGGCTCGAAGGTAATTGCTTATACTGACCATGGTGCTCTTAGGTACCTAATTGAGAAGAAGGAGTCAAAGTCGCACCTAATTCAATGGGTGCTACTACTACAACAATTCGACTTGGAAATTTGTGATCGAAAGGCAACGGAAAACAAAGTTGCTGATCATTTGTCCAAGCTTAAAAGAGTCGAAAAGAGGGTTGAGGTAGAAAAAATTGCAGGGACTTTCCTAGATGAATAACTTTTAGCCACAGCCTTGAGGTAGCGCCATGGTATGTAGATATTTCAAACAACTTGGTGATCGATATTGTTCCCTATGACTTGTCCTCTATGCAGAAGAAAATGTTCTTTCATGATTGTCGCATGTATTTCTGGGATGAACTATATTTGTTTAGGATTTATATTGATAATATGATCTAGAGATTTATTCTCGAGATATACCAAGCTTCTGTTTGCAGACATGTCATGCTTCGCCTTATGGAGGCCATTTTGGAGGAGTAAGGACAGCTGCTAAAGTACTAGAGTCGGGCTTTTATTGGCCGACACTGTTTAAAGATGCACACTTTTGGGTAAAGAGTTGTGATGAGTGCCAACAGACGGGGAATATTTACCATCGATATTAGATGCCCATGAACCCAATTCAAAAGGTGGAAGTATTTTATGTATAGGGAATTGATTTTATGAGACCATTTGTCAGCTCATATGATAAAAGTATATACTGGTAGCTGTGACTATGTATCGAAATAGGTAAAAGTCGTGGCACTCCCAACAAATGATGCAAAGGAAGTTATTGGTTTTCTAAGAAAAAATATTTTTACCTGATTTGGTACTCCAAGAGCAATCATCAGTGATGGAGGCACCCACTTCTGCAACCGGGTCTTTGCAAAGTTGTTGGAGAAATATGGCGTTCGCCATAAGGTCACCACTCCGTATCACCCACAAATAAGTGGGCAAGTGGAGGTGTCAAACAAAGAAATCAAGAGTGTTTTGACAAAAACTGGAAATGTTACTCGGACTGATTAGGCGAGAAAATTGGATGATGCACTATGGGCATACCACACTGCATTCAAAACTCTGATTGGTATGTCACCGTACAAATTGGTATTTGGAAAGGCGTGTCACTTACCGGTGGAGTTAGAGCATAGAGCTTTTTGGATAATAAGACAATTAAATCTTGACATAGAGGCTGTTGGTACAAGTAGAGTCACAGAGCTTCATGAACTTAAGGAATTCCGTTATCATGCTTTTGAGAGTACCAGGATGTACAAAGAAAGGATGAAGATGATTCACGATAAGCATATCCAAGAGAGGATTTTCAAACCTGGAGATATCGTGTTGTTGTATAATTCAAGATTGAAATTATTTTCAGGTAAGCTGAAATCTAGATGGTCAGGACCATTTAGACTTGTGCAAGTATTCTCAAGTGGAGCTGCTGAAATTGCATCCGAGGATGCAACAAACAGGTTTAGATACAATGGGCAAAGGTTGAAACATTACATTGGCATGGATGAGGAAAAGGTTGCATCAGTGACTCATTTGTAGGAGCCTCAATTGTTGAGTGAACCTTGAGTTTGATTGCTTGCATCGTGTTGCAATATTAAATCAGGCACTTCTTGGGAGGCAACCCATTGAGATGTTGTAGTTGTCATGCCATGAAGGCGCTTGTTGGGAGGCAACCCAATTCTTAGATAGTTTAGCTTAGTTTTCATTTTTCATTTAATTTCAGGGGACTAATGAGTTGGTTTTGAGTGATTTTAGGTTGGTTGATCAATCATGGGCGCGCAGAAACAAAAAAATAATTAGAATCAGTGATAAAAAACGTGCCCTGGAGAGTGCAAGTTAAAGTGCCTACCTCGCTATAGCCTAGGCTTCATGAGCTCAAAAGAATGTTGCTTCGCGTTTCCTCCCTCACGCCGCCCATCTCCTAGCGTGATACTCTTCGCTACACAGCTCGCAGATCCAGGTCCAAAGTTGCATCCCTTGCGCCGCTTGGGCTGTAGCGAGATCTACTTCGCGGCAGACCTCACGGCGCCAGGTATGTAAATATTTTTTTATATACTATTTTTTCTCTTCTCTTCTTATTTAATTTTCCTAAAACACCTACCCTTAATTATACAACTAACTGCCCAGCCCTTTCCAAATATAACACATGCCCTAACCCTCTCTAAACACACTGCCCTACCAAACAACCACTGCCAGCCTCCTCTCCCTCTCTCACTCACAAGAACTCCATTAAATTCATACATCCCTCCGTTCATTCTTCACTAGCAACATCAATTGAAGAGAAAACTTCCTTCCAAGCATCTAAGGTATGGTTTCTAACTCTTTGTTTTGTCAAAGTTCGAATTGGGTGTAGTAATGAATTCAGACAACTTTTGGATATGTTCTTCATAGTAACATTGTGCTTGTTTGTCCTAACCCCGTAAGAATGGTATTGTTGTTGTACAAAGGTGGCAGCACAATATTCCCAAGCCGATTTAGGAGGGTGAGGCAATACCTCATTCCTATAAGCACTTCTATAGCACTAGTGCGAGCTAAGTGTTTGTCAAAATGCCTCAAAGGAATTCTTTGTCCCCATTGGAGCCCGAGTCTCTGGTATTGTGATAATAGTGGTATGTCACCTTGCACCACTTGAAATTTTAGTGTGGGGTGGATCACTGGTAGCTATATGCTTTGAAATTGTAGTAGACATCATTGTGCCATTGCTTGATTCTCATGCTAAAATAAAGAGGTGAAGTTTGAGTAGCCTCAAAATTGTTAAACATCATGTGATGAACTTTTAAGTGTGGGGTCACAAGACCATGTTTTGAAGTGATTCAATGTTTCTAAGACTAACTAGTGTCTACTTATGTAGGTACGAATATGCCCCCTAAGAAGGACAACGGTAAACGCAATGGCAAAGCCATTTCTCCCATAAATCCAAGGCTTCCTCCGCGCCTCCACCAAAAAAAAAGAGGGGAGGCCACTTCAAGTCAGGTTGAGGGGTTGCAAGAGGTTTCAGCTATAGCAGCCTCACACCCATAGCCTGCGGGACATCGAGAATTTGGACTTAAGAGTATACCCCCATCTGCCAAGGACTGGTACAAGCTTTGTTAGCCAAGAAATATACACTCTGAGTTGGCTGTTCATGAGCGCCATCTAAAAGCTAAGTATCCATTAATTTGGAAAGGTATTCATGATCTTAGATTGAGCTACATGTTTGGAAATACGGGGGATATCAATGTAAACCTTGTCCGTGAGTTTTACGCCAGTTATGATCCGAATGATCCTAAGCAACTAGTCCCTATTCAGGGGAGGTTGATTGATTTTCCTGTATCAGCTATATGCAATTACTTGGGAGCTCCAGATGTTCCCAAGAAGCCCCTGGATAGCTTCATTGCCCGTCCAACATATCCGGCATTGAGACACACTC